AAATTATTATCAGAGATTTCCTTTTGCACATTTTGAATTGGGCCTGAAAAAAATTACCCAGCCCAGTTCAAAGCCCGAGTCACAACTCGAGAGGCCCGAAGAATAAACCCCAATCAATCCACCACGGCGTCGTCCAATTGAAACCCTAATCCTATAAAATCTAGGGTTTTGGCCGTCGCACTTTTTCTTCTAGAGTTGCTGCTGCTGTGTGAGCCTCTGCATCTCCAAACTCTTCGTGCTCCTAAGAAGTTCTCAGAGCTTAGGGTCTACAGCCATGGCGGACAACAAGGCAGTGACTATTCGGACCAGGAAGTTCATGACCAATAGGCTCCTCTCCAGGAAGCAATTTGTAAGCTTTCTCTTCTTTTTCTTTTATTCTCATTCTAATTCTTCGTCGCCAAACATTGGTTAGCGCTTGTGTTACCCGTGACCATTTGAGGCTTAATATGAGTTGGGGTTGGGGTATTCTTTGAGATTCAGATCCGTTTGGAGAAAGGAAAAGTGAGGGAAAGTCTTGGGATTTTATTAGTCAGCAAGTTTCTTACATGAACTGCAGTTGTACTGTCAATGTCGTAGGTTGTTGTTTCTTTGAGTCGAGGCATTTGTTTTGTTTCTGTTAAAGATAGTGTTGTTACAATAGCTGAAGGAGTTTCGTTTAATGAATTAGTGAGGAAATTGCAAGTTTGGATATTTGGTTTTGATTTCGGCTTAAGTTTACTGTACCTTAATTGTGTTATGCACTTTGTTCAATTCAGGTTATTGACGTACTCCATCCTGGGAGAGCCAATGTTTCCAAGGTAAATATTCATTTGAAGCCATTTGTTTAGCTTTCTAGATCTTTTATGTTTATATTTCTACACAAAGAAAGTTTGATGAAAATAAAATAGTTAAATTTATGTTATCCTCGTTCTGGATCAAGTAGTGGCTGGTTTATTGATTGGATTGGTTGTTTTACCTGTATCGTGATATGTAGGCAGAGTTGAAGGAGAAGCTTGCAAGGATGTATGAGGTGAAGGACCCAAATTCAATCTTTGTTTTCAAGTTCAGGACTCACTTCGGAGGAGGCAAATCTACTGGATTTGGTTTAATTTATGATTCTGTTGAGAGTGCCAAGAAGTATGAGCCTAAGTACAGGCTGATCAGGGTAATTTTCTATGATTTTTTCTTATAGGAACTTCAATGGCTGTATTTCTCTTTGTTTGGAGTGTGCATTTCCTTGTCTTTGGATGTTCTTTGCTGAAAAATTCTGTGTTTAATACCAAGCAACGTTTTCATCCTTGATTTGTTATCTTGTGTATCATATTACAAAAATTTATGTTTGTTGAAGTCATATCCTGCTCTTATACAAGATTTATTTTTCTTCTTGTCATTTTAATCTGGACTTTCATTTAGATGTCTCTGACAAGTTCCAAAAACTTTATAAACTTTTCCGGGCAAAAAAAATGAATGGCTTTAAAACAAAAACCCGGAGTGATTGAGTCAGTTTCCTTTTTTAGTTTTTGAATTGTATTCACAAGGACAATATGCCCTATGGTGCCTTCTCGACTCTTGCTTCTCACTTTTTTTCATATGTTGAATGATAGCTTTCTCTTTTAACTCTTACATTTTTAGTAGCAGGCTGCTTTCGTGATCTCTTAGTTGGAACTTTTATTTGTTTTGATATCCTTAAGTGTATTCTTTATCTTATGCATGCACTGCAATTGCATTGTTGATTTGCAGAATGGACTTGACACCAAGGTAGAGAAGTCAAGGAAGCAAATGAAGGAAAGGAAGAACAGGGCCAAGAAGATCCGTGGTATTAAGAAGGTATATAGTGTTTTTGTACCATGTTGGTTCTTTATTGGTGAATGTATATAGTGTTTTTGTACCATGTTGGTTCTTTATTGGTGAATGTATATAGTGTTTTTGTACCATGTTGGTTCTTTATTGGTGAATGCTCTCAACTTACGAACTTCTTGATGTGGTTGATATCATCCTAACTTGCATTTTACCTTGTTTTGCAGACAAAGGCTGGTGATGCTGCTAAGGCAGGAAAGAAGAAATGAGTTCCTGTGCTTTACCTTGAAGCCAATATTTTCCAACAGGGTTTCTTTGTTAGTCTTTGTTTAGATGTTTTTGAACTGGTTGCATTTGAAGACATGGGTTTGGAATTATCTGATTTTTAGTTATATTATATCATCTCTTATGTTGAGTTATTTCCCGAGCACAATTTTGGAAGATTAGTTAGTAACACATAATTGTTTCTCATCATTTGGCTGGAATTGAGTTGGGATGCTATTGTTCCAAGAGCTGAAAGCTTTTCTTGATTGAATATGGTTCTCAAACTGGTGCTTTAGGAAACGAACGAGATCACAGTTGAATTCCATGTTTATTTGGATTATTGAATTGTTAGGGATTTGTTCCACCACGCTTCTGGGTTATTAAATTATTAGTTTTTATATTTTTGTATTATTTTAAAAATATATAAAATGTTAATTATAATAAATATTAAATATATTTTATATATTTTTAAGATGTTAAAGGGTTAAAAAATCTATAATTGCAATTACTGTTTAACTAAACCTAGATTTATGATTGCAAGTTGTTCACATAAGCGGCAGAACTTGACAAGCCATTGATCTATGTTGATGAGATTCTCTGCCTTATGTTACTGCATCTTTAATTTATTCCTTGCTGGGTTTTAGAAGTACAGAATGTTCTGGCTTCTTTTGTCATTTGCAAAAAAAAAAGGATTTCGTAGGAATCTTTTTTTTTTCTTCTTCTTCTTTTCTTTTCTTTCTTTTCTTTTTTTGAACATTTTCTTTTCTTTCTTTTGGATAAGATTTCTTTGTAGTCTTGCATCAATCATTTTCATTTTTTTTTTAAAAGACAACAATTAATACATATTTTAAATACATGAGAAATGAGAGAAGGGAATTTGAGGAGGTGATTCTTACCGACCAATGTAGTTACCCACTAGTCTTACATCCATCAATTTTCGTTTCAAAAGAAAAAAACAAAGTGAGAGAGAGTTGAATAAGTCATGATACGTGAAATGATAACAGCTTTTCCACTTCTTTTTTATTTTTTTATTTTTTGATTTGGCTATACAATGCCAAAAGGATAATTTATTCATATGTCATGTAATTAGAATATGAATTTATTCAAATGTCATGTAATTAGAATATGGAAACTCTTATTGTCAATTAATAAAAGATTATTATTTTTGAGGAAATGTTTTAAATAATTAAAATTTTAAAATTATAAATTATAAATCTTAAATTTGAATCATAAGATGAGTAAATACAAATAAAAAAAATAAAAAAAAATAATTGTTATTTTCTATTACATAAAACTTAAGTACTTGGCAAAATAAGTAATATTTTTATAGGGATAGCTTCTTTGCTATTTAGTTTGAGTGGTTTTACTTGTGCTAACAAATTATTCTCCTAGAATACTAAAGTTTTCTATTTTATCTTAAAAAAATACTTTTTAATGACAAAGATATATTATTAAAGTTAAGAAAGTGACAAGATTTAAGAAGGAAAAAAATCATGTCTCTCTAAAGTATTAAAAAAATAACAACTATTAGTACTTTAATATAAATTTTAAATTAAAAAATATTTACCATTCTAAGATTGAAAAGTATTTACCATCAATAAAATTTTACTGAAGTAATACTTATTAAACTAAAAATCTAAATTTAAAGTTAATTAATTTAAAGTTAATGTTAAGAATATAAATCTATGTAAAAAAAATTACTTAAAAAATAAAAAAGAAGAAAAAACCAAATTGCCTCGTCTATGAGTACCAGACAAAGGCATCATCCACATCAGGTTGTTTTAAACGAAATATGGTTAGTGGGATTTGAATCGACACTTCCATCATGATTTGGTTCATATCACTTTCTAGTTCGGTTTGTTAATATAAAAGAAAATAATTATGAGTTGATGCCATATGTTTACTTGCACAACTCGCAAGAAAGTATTCATTGTTTGGTAATTGGTTGGTTAT